TTTTTAGTCTAATAGTAATATAATTTGTATTTGAGCACCGACAAGACTGTCAAAGAATTAAAAAAAAAAAAAAAAAAGAACCGTGAAAGGGCCAGCCAAAAGTAAGTAAGCCACAGATAATTAAAGTAAAGACTGCGGGTGAAGTCAAACAAAACAACACCACAACTCAATTAAAGCTTGCGTTAGCGTCGTTTGGTTAACATTAGAAAAGCAAAATCTGAAAAACTTGACCATCTCTTTTTCGTTAACAAATCAACAATCTCTGGCCAATCAGAGTTATAATTCCGTCTGGCCAATAAAAATTCGCACGTGATTCTGCTCCGCTTTAGACGTCCCCCTTTTTAGGGGTTTGTATTACCGGCACAAATAAGTAAAGCCTAATTATATACGTATATGAAAAATACCAAATTTGGTTACTTAATAAATATTAAAAATTTAAAATTTAGCTACTTATACTGTACAACTAAATCAGTGTATGAAACACGGGTACGTATTAGCTAATTGATTTGCAAATCCGTATAACTGTATAACGATAACTGTATAACAATAATATGTAAAATTCATACATAAAACAAAAACTACTTAATATTAGGGTTAGGTTTAGAGAATATTTTATACTAAAATTTTGCCGGTTTTATTAGCATAATTTTGAGCTATAACTATACCCGTGTTTCATATACTAGTGTACAAATAGAATTGTCTTATAAATTATATGTATTAAAAATAATAACTTTCATATTAATTAACGCGCATCTTAACAGTTAATATATGTACTGTACGTACGTACGTACGTAGCATATAATTTATTATTTGAAAGAATAGTATAGATTTGCACAAATCTATAAATACTGTAAAACAAAATTATTATATCTTGTGATTTAGTGATCCAAAATATTAATAATTCATGTCGAATCGAATAGTTAAATTCTGATTACTGAATCACAAGATATTGATATTCAAATACTAATTACAGTACAAACAACCTAATTCTAGCAAATAAAAAATTTTTAGAGACTAAATTTAAAAATTTATTTTATATATACTGTATATATGTAATGAGGCCAATTTGAAATTTTAACTAATTTATATTTTAATTAGAAAATTTATTAATTTACACTAGTGTTTATACACGGGTATTAATTTTTGGTTTACAAATTTGTAACATGCCAATTAAATAATTGTCGCGGCTGAAGCTGGAAATTTTAATTATTTTAATATGAAAATTTCAAATTTTTTTGGGCTTTTTGTTAGGGGTTTAGTAGGGCTTAGTAAGGTTTATATTTTTAAATCAAGGTCCCTAATTCCAGCTTCAGCCATTTCCAGCCGCGACAATAATTTTATAAATGAAAAATTAACCCTCGTTTAGAGATATTAGTCGATTTGACCTTAGTCGGCTTAGTCGACTTAGCCGACTAAATCGGTCAAATTTTCAAAAAACCGGCTTAGTCGACTATGCTCAAAATGACCAAAAAGATTAGATTATTCACGATCTAATCCTCGAATTTCACATGCAATTTAGCATTCAATGAATATTCCCAATTTTGTGTAAAAAAATATTCGCTTTTAATTGTGCATTCATTTTTGTCCGTGGATATTCACAGATCTCATCTCTAGTGCTATGTAACGATACACGGAAATGGAATTCACCTGACTTAATATTTAGTCGGCAAAGCCGGCTTAGCCGATTTTTATAAAATCGGCTTAGTCAGTCGATAATTTCAACCCGACTAATATCCCTACCCTCGTTTATAGTTAGGATAGATACCAAAATTTAGCGAGGAGTTTTTTTTGTTAGAAACCAAAAGGTGGTTTCATCAGTTGGTTTTTTATATACCTCGTGTACAAATAGAAATTGCCTTAAAAAAACTTTATTTAAATATATAGATTTTTTAAAAAATAAATCAGAAGAACCTTTACAGTTTTATAGTTAAATTTGCCCTGAAATTTAAACAGTTTAATTATGTAGAAAATTAATGTAAAAATAATCAACCGAGATCGAGAATCCTTTTGTTTTTACTGTAATGATACTTATTGTTCAGAACGAAGCGAAGAACACTTTATCTTTACTATGGACTAGTGATTTGAACCGAGAGAAATTTTCTTAATCGGTTAACCGAACCGAATTATCTCATTCAACCGATTACCAACCGGTTAAGATTAATATATATATTAATACTATGTACCTTCGGAAATTCTAGAAGCTTTATTCTAATTTTTGTCGGAACTTTTCGGATCCTACGTCATTTTAACATTTTCTCATACCATATTAATCTCGCCGACCGGTTGTATCGGGTCAACCGATTAAGAATTTCCTCAACCGATTACCTGAAATTTATTCTGTTCGGGTCGGTTAACCGATTATAGCTCAACCGATTCAAGTCACTACTATGGACTATGATAAATAACATCACGTGATTATGTCTTTCCGCTTCCGTGATGCTGATTGGTTGAATATACGGGTAAATTGCAGTTTACGCGTAGATCTATGTATAAATACTGTATTTGTTTATTTTTTTTTTTAACTAATTTCTTCTTTTCTTTTTGCTTATCTGTTGAATATTAATGTTTTGAATGAAGCAACCCATATTTTTTAGGGTTCCGATTGAAGCAGGTAAGGAACAGCTGGCGGAATCTTGATCTAGTTTCGTTAAACTAGATTAGAAAGATATCGGACTCATTTAATATTCAGATATTTGCAAATTGAATTTTTTCTCTGCATAATTCTACTGGTTCTGAAAAAAGAATTAGTTATGTACCTTTCGTTGCTGTAAATTGAAATTATTTTAAGAAGGTAAGTTTATTTTTATTTAGGCTATATAATTGGTTCTCCAGGTCAAAATTTCGACTATATTTATTATCCGGGTGAACTCTTTTAAATTTTTATAAAAAAATTTTAAATTTTTTGTAAATAAGCCAGTTTTTTAAAATTTATGTTATGAGAACCAAAAATTAACTTTATATGTTAATTACTGCCTTTTTTTTCAACATGGTTCTTAACATGGCTTATGCTGCAAAGGGGTTCTTGGTCTCTTACACTTAAATGAGATACGAGTGTGGGTACGACATCCTTCTTAAGTTTCGTACCGTCTATTCACAATTCCTCAAGGATAGTTTTCTTATTTCAAGGTTTTAAAGGTTTGGCGTTATAGTTGGATTCTGGCTAATACAATAATATAGAGTTGACATTAGGGATGGCAACGGTCGGCTATTTTCGGCTAGCCGTTTTGTAGCCGTTAGCTGTATCTCGAATGGTGTTAAAATCATCCAATTTTGATCACTGAATCACGAGATATAGCTAACGGCTAACCGAAAATAGCCGACCGTTGCCGTCCCTAGTTGACATTAATGCTTTTGGTGAACTGTCTTTTTTTATATACTGTACATATATATTGTATAAAAAATTTTTGGTTAAAATAATTAATTTTATAAGAACAATTATCGCTGTTTTCGAAATGGTTGATAAATTTTTTCTTGAGTATACTCGTATGTCGGATTACCTTAGCACGTTGATTGAAGATCGATGTTTGATTACTTATTGTTTGAAACAATAAGTAAATCAAACAATCAATAATCCAGCATACGAGTATACCAGAAAAAATTTTTTTACTCATTTCTACCATTTCAAAAACCGCGATAAATCATTATTATTTGAAAATTTTTCAATTTTAAAATTTTATTTATAAATATTAAGAAATTTTTATAATTTCTATTTAAATTAAATAGTATCATTGAATGTACGTACACTCATTCGATCACTAAAAACAAATACTATTTTATAATTAAAGAAATTTTTAAGTGATCGAATACTTTTATTCCCTATGCGTTTTGTTGCTACAGATTGTGTAAGTACTGCAGATTTGGCAGATTCCAAATTTAAATCGATTCCAGTTTCAAACTCTAAATAAGTCTATAAAGATATAAACAACCTTAATTTTATTTTTATTACTTTTTTTGAAAAAGGTTACTCTCCGGAGCTAGATCGGAAGTGATCCGCAGCCCCCGAATTTTCTTGACATAAGGGTTCCATTGTATCATCCTGCAATAAGAAACGCACGATATTAAAATTAAATGGTGCGAACGTTTAAATCAAAGTTTGTTTATATTCCAAATGATTTACGTGCCAATTCCATTTTGACAACATCTAAATTTTTCCATGAGTTTTTTAAATTTGCCAGTGTTTGAGTTAATTCGTTGCAACGCCTAATGAAATATTAAAATATAATATGAATAAGGTAAATTGGTATTTTGTAAACTTAATTAAGTTGGTACTTTTGAATCTCCTTTGTAGCAAGCTTTCGCTGTTCTATTTGTTCTTTCATTATCAATTGCAGCGTCTCTCTCGCCTTTATTAGTAAATTTAAGGCGTTAGAATCTGAATCGGTTAAATATCTCAAAGCTGTATTAAAATAACTAAAATTCTTACTTGATGAGGTCGATATTCGTTAAGCAAAAACTTCATATTTATTAAAAGTAATTTTATTTGCTCACACTTGTCTGGTCCCTAAATGATATGTTTATTAAGCGATATTAACTAAGATACAGCCTATCGTTATCGCTATTGATTGAAATATTACCCGATCAGGATCTTTGACAAGTATATCTAACAACTCAACAAAATTGAAAACTACAGAATTGTTCAATTTTTTGAGCTCTAAGGCTTTATCTAAAAATAAATGAATAAATATATTAAATTTGTTTATGAAATATCGAAGAAAAAATCGCAAAGCAAACCAATTTCTCCTTTTGGATATAATTGCTGCATATCGTTTTCTTCTAAAGTACGCATTCGATCAACAACCTATAAAATTATATCAATAAAGTAATACTAATGACAATTATGACGAATGAATAACCTACTGGCCAAGGTTCATTAAACATCGTGTAGGAGCCTTTTGTTATCACTTTAGGAGGCTCTAGATCAAATATGTCAAAATCTTGCGGCAGAGTATCGCCTGCACTTGTAAAAGCTTCAATGCCATGTTCTTTGATCCGCTTTAATTTGTCAAGGTTCTCATCAGTATATCGTTTGTAAAATTCGGGGGGCAAAGGGAAGGAGGAGGCAACGTTTTGAGAAGACATCGAATTTGGTATAGATATTCGGTCAAATTTGGGGTATTTAAAATATGCAAACTGCGTCAATTATGTCTGTTCGAGCAACTTCTCATGTGCAACCACAACCCTTGTTTATAAAAAAAATACTGATACGTATCACGTAGCACTTACGTAACGCAATTCGTTAATACATTCACTACAAATTCACTATATCGCATTCGCAAGGTTCGCAAGACGATGTCCAAAAAATAATCAAGATCGGCGGGCAAACTCTTGATAGAATAATGGACGTATTCGATTTTCCTGAAGACAATGATAATTTTAGGTGGGGATCAAGATCCAAAAGCAAAAAAGACGGTCTAAAATCAGTCGACCTAACAATAAAAAAGAAGAAATCGATCAATTCTATTATTCCATCATCCTCACCTAAAAGAATGACAAAAACTATTATTGAGCCACCTAAAACTCAAACTCGATATACTCGGTCGATATCAGAAGTTGGGACACCAATGTCCTTTTTACCATTCCACCGAAGAAAACCAAGTGATTCTATATGGGATGTTGTTGATGCTGTAGCTTCACCAATAGACATATCAACCAGTCCACGAAAACAAAATTTAGTTGCAAAAATGTCTAAGCCTCCAGTTTCCAAACCCGATAAGAATAATACTTTATCTCACTTTATGACATATAGAGATCCCACCTTTTCTGCTTCAAAGTCAATGATAGATACTAGTCCATCAACTAGTTATAATACAAGAGATGATATGTTTATTGAAGATATTATTGCAACGACTTCAAATGTTCCCGATTTTCCAAGTTCACCGCCTCAATCATATAATGCAAACATATCCGGAAGCCCCGGTGTTCAAAAGACCTACGGAAAAGGGCGCACTATTATAAGACAAGATGATCTTGATTCATTATTATCAGATACATTTATGCCTTCTTCACTATTTCATTCTGATGATGTTGAAAAAGATTTAGTGAGTAATATCCATACATTTTAACTATTTCTTTAAATAGAAACTAATTCAATGTATCGTTTAGATAATCAGAAAGAATGAAGTAAAAAGTTCCCATGAACTTCGAGAAGTTGGAGGTAATGCTAGATTTATTGATGAAATAAATTATATTTTGGATGGCCTTCGAGAAAATCATCAATTGAGTGTGCGCAGGAATAGGTTAGGACGGAGTTTTTTATAATTTCCTTTTTTTTATCAAGGCGAAGTTTTTTTTATACTTATGCAACTATTTTTAAAAGTGGCATGGAGCTATCACGCAAATTGTTGAACAGTGAATTTCTGCTAAAAGTTCGTGCTCACAACTATATTCCGAAAATATATGCCATGCTAAATAAGAATCAAGATTCGGTCAGTTTACTCCCTTTTTTCTTTACACCAACACATATATTTCTTTATATTAATATAATAGCATTCTCCTATTATTTGCAACTTATAGTTTATAAGGTGTTGTTTTGCATTCATTATATGTTTGTTGATTGAGGACAAACATAGTTCAGAGTTATTAATACGGGAATATGGGTTTATGGAACTGATTGTAAATACTCTGAACAATCCATTGGATCCTTTTGACGATAATAATGAATCTTTGAAGAGATCTGAAAGGTTACTAGTAAGTCTACTTAATTAAATTTCTATATATATATTAGTTTTCATGATTAATGATCTTGCTTATTTAACAACCAGATCAAAGAAATGAAAGAGATCATTATACGTTCTGCAATTTTCGAATCAAAATCCCAAGTAAGGATCTTTATTGTTGTTTGCCACTCATATATATTATTATTATATATTATTATAACGGACTAAACCATGTTTATTATAAACTCTCTCTATATTAATAGATTTCACTTAAATCAATAGCCCTTCGGACATTATCTTCCTTAACTTCTTTAAGAACGCGTTATGAAAGCATGATAAAAACTAGATTACGAGTGTCAGGAGGGTTGGGTTCTGTAATAAATATCTTAAAGACTGAACTTGAATCTGTAACTGGTTTACTGTCAGGAATTGAGAATGGTAAGGTAAGAATTTTAAACATCGTTTCATTAAGATGTTACCAGGTCTTCGCTTAATAAAATTGTTTAACGTTAATCAATCAATATAAATATGTATGTAGGCATTGAACCTATCAGAAAATGTATTGGATTTCGAATGTATTGGGCAATGCCTTAAAATAATAGAAAATGCAACCCTCTTCTGTGCCGAAAACCAATTCGACATTGTCGAAAAGGACAAAGAACTTTTACGGATGCTATTGGAATTTCTTTTGTACTGTCAAGTAGAGGCTTGTAGTAGAAATATGCAACGTGCATCAGTAGGTTTGTGTAATCAATCGAAGTTATATGATTGATGTTCGATACGGTTTTGTATAAAATTGTTGTATTTAATCATTGTAGCAATGGAATGTCTTCTTGGCAGTCTGCGTGTGCTTATTAACCTCTCTAATGATAATCAACCGTGTTGTCAATGCATTGGGTGTATTCCTGGAATGTCAATTCTTGTCAGACTTGCCACTCTTGGACAGCTTCCCCATAATGAATCTATGACAATGAATATTCACTCAGATAAGATGGATTTGGATGGTCCGGCGAATTCAACAGCTATCGAAGCGGTCAAATTCGACGTGTTATTACTTAGTATTGGCTTGCTTATAAACTTGGTTGAAATGGATCCTGGAAACCAAGACGAATTTCGGAAAGTTGGTAAGATATTACTGTTACATTAAATGTGGTTTAAGCATGAATGCACCAACATAATGAATTCATATTATTTAATTTTTATTGTTTCAAGAGCAAAACCCATTTTGTACAGGTTCACATACTTGTCTTCGAACTTGCACATGCTCATCACGTGAATCCGCTGTATCATGTTTTGTATCTTTGTATAATTACCAACTTGAAAAAGATGATGATGAGGTAATACTATATTGGCTATTACCATTCATTATTTTTCGAGAATTAGTAAGGCATATTAATTTTGTTTTTTTTTAGACTGATAGCAATATTATTGCAGCATATCTAGCTGTTTTACTTGGCTTATTAATCAAGAACAATCACGCCAATCAATTGTTGATAATTGATATCCTTTCATATTTTATTTCATTTTTTACTTTCAATGCAATGACTACAGTATAATCTCCTTAATTGTTTTTGTTATATACAGCGATTGCCGGATCGATCGGTCAATTCTCTTATAAACCTTCTTCAACAGTTTGTCCATTTTAATGAATTAGTTGGTGAAGAGGCATCAGCGAGTGGGCATTTAAGTGGACAAATGTTAATGAGTTCATCATCGTTAGATCAAGTTCAACTTGATAATATGACACCTCATCCTCAAGGAAAAACTATAGGTGATTCATTTTTGGACATTGTAGACATGTTAAAATCTTTAGAAACTTAGCGGCTACAAATATGGTAATGTTATGCAAGGATTAAAGTCTAAATGTTTCTTACTTTCTGGTTACATAGTACTCTGAGTTTAACGATTAGTAAACTTATAGACCTATTTTTCTTTTGTACTTTTAAAGGTAGAATCTAATGAACAAAAAAAAAAAAAAAAAATTCGCAGTTAATCTACTTATCTCCTGAATTGTTCTTTTATTAGTAAGATTTATTTATACCTGCATTGGCAGATAAAATTTTTGGTTCGATGTTCAAAATTGCAATAAAATTTAATCAATTATTTACATTTTAATATATATTAAGATATAATGCTGATCTTAAATACTTAAGGTAAAGGTAATAATATTTTTAATATTTTAAGTAAATCATATATTTTATTAAATATAAGATTGTTTTTTTTTTGTTTTTTTTTGGCATACTATTTTATTATTTTTAAAATACAATAATATATCAGATACTATATATATATATATATACATACATATATACTGTATATATAGTATATTTATGTATTAAAAAAAACTTAGTTCAAAATATATATCTATATTTATATTTATATTAAAAATATTAATATTAATTTTTAAAATAAAAAAACTAAAAAAAAGTAATAAATTTTTTGACACTGTGGTGCCAATATTTATTTTTAATAATAAAATTCAAGATTATTAGGTATAAAGAATTTTTTAAAAAAACATAACCTACTTTTCTGACAAAGTATAAAACACAGTATATATTCAATAAATTCTAAAATTATTATTATACAAATTATATATTTATATATATAGTTAATTAAAAAATTTTTATTTAAGTATTTCTAGTAATAATTATTGTTCAAATAGCAAGAACTTATTATACGTAAATATTAATCATATTTCTGTAGTGAACGATCATCAGGCGATCATAAAATAAATACTTCATACGTGAATTAAAAACATCGGACAGTAACAAATGAGCAATTGAATTTTGTAAAATATTACACATTTTTCAATTTGAATTTTTGGACAGTTTTACGTGTCCCTGATTTGCGTTACGATAGCCAATTATATTAACTGGTTAAATTAAAATGAACATCGTTTTATACCACTTTCGCTAATGGGGGAACACATAATTGACGAGGCTCCAGACGATTCATTAACTTTGGGCCAATTAAAAAAAATAGTAAAACAGTTGCCAAATAAGCAAAAGGTAAAATGTAAAGGTGTAAAATGGTTTATAAAGTCTTGCATTGATTATAAATTCACTCATATCTGCACATGCTACTAAATAGCCAAAAGAAATTTCTTTTTCCTATGCTGATAGTGATAGTATTTCAAGAGAAATTGATGAGTTCTACAGTTATGCAGAAATTTCGCAATGCCTAGAGAACAAGGATATTTTCGATGAGGGATTCGGCGAAGGTAAATGGTCATAAAAATACATTTTATAATTTCAAATAATATTAATGAGCTTTTTCGTGTAAAATATTTTTAATAGCTTGGACTACTTGTACTATGTCCGAACGCCGAGTTTACATCGAGTACTTATTGGAAACTTTAGAACTAAAAGATCCTGAAAAAAGATTTTTATCTGCGAAAAAGTTATTGTATATCGCTCAAGGTGGTGTATTTATACTCGTCGTTCCGGATTATTTTGAGAAATTACAAGTCAATTTATACTTGGCTGATCGAATTCAGGAACATTTGGTGAAATTATAACACAAGATCAACACCTTGAATGGATCATGGAAAACAACAAATTGTTACGAAAATGTGGGGCTCTCCTCTCATATTTCCAAGCTCTGAAATTAGCGTGTCATGCACATGACTTTTATAGGTATTTTACTAATTTTTCTATATATATATATATATATATATTAACTAAATTACTAACAATATATAAAGTCGTCCAGATTTTAATGCGGATAGACAAGCATATATCGACGATATAAACACTGAAATTGGATTCTATTTGACATTATTATATATGCTTGTTGAAACTCATCGTGGGGATGATTCATTTGGCACAGAGCTTGGTTTGTTTATTGATATTTTGAATTATAATTCAAATGCAATTTCATAATTTCTGATATCTTAACTGCAGATTACCTATTTAGCTGAACTTAATCCGCCAATGGCCGTATTCCTGTTTGAGATAATCGCCTCATTACGAGAGAAAGAAAAAAATGCAAAAGGCTATCCTGTCAAAAAGGTGATTTAAGACTTTTATTAGGACCAATAATTTTACATAAGTTAAGATGCTGACACGTAGATGGAACTGTCTAAACAAATACAAAAGTTTCTCCTTTTATTATGGAAAGTTATTTTAGCAAGTTTAGGTGGATTAAATGATATGTTGAGGCTGAAAAATACTGCTAGAACAATTAATGGACTACCATCTATGTACAATGAGGGTAAGACATCTATATTTTACTTTGTTATTAGTATAATACACATTACTTTTTAGTTCTGACTGATTTTTTAGGTTTGTTAACCAAGTCCACACCATCGGATTATTATACGTTCCAAAATGAAGCAACGCAAAAGTACCCAACTTATGTTCCACCTCCCTGTCCATTTATTCCAACTTCCCCTATTGCTGCAAGTTTATTTCCAAGTGCAAACAACCACACTAATGGAAATGAGTCTTCGGGACAAAATGTATCTTCCATTAATGGCAATGGAAACAGTAACCAAGCTCCAAAATCCAGAAAACAACAATTTCAAACAAATCAGCGGCAACCATTTATTTTTCCATTTTCTAAATCTACTCCTAGTGTACCAAAATCTGTACAAGAAGCTGGTGATTTATATCTTAAATTTATGCATGTAAGTTTAGGTACTTTTCAATTCTGGAAAGAAAAAATCGAAATGAAAAAGCTGCCTACTGGGGATATAATCAATAGTATACCTTTCAACGAAAACTGCGTCGCGGAAAATCAACACAATAATAATGATGATGAATCTCAAATCGAAATAACGAAAACAGACAAAGAGAAGATCGAGCGCATTGAAATTCTTTATGTATCCTTCTTTTTTAATTAATGCTTCGTTTGATTGTCCTTCATTAAATATCCATAACCACGATAAACTTTTTTGCCCTTTGTTTGTTTGAAACATTAACTATTTGATAGAAATCAATTCTTCCTCATCTGCAAAATATTGTTATTATGCTTCTTAAACTATTGCTTGCTACAGTGTCTAACAACAAAAACTCTGATATTGACAAAGGTGGGACTTCTGCCAATAATGGTGGGCGCTTAAAATCGTTAATTTGACATATAACAATGCAATAAAATTAACTTTTATTAAATATATAACACTCCAAGATCACATTTCTGAAAGCAGTATTAATTCTTCGAATGGCAACACGATCGAGGAAATAGACATCATGCGACATCGCGAAATTACGTCAAAGGCAGTGTCAGCTATAATTCTCTTAATGCTCAAACACTTAAAGTTGTCACGTATCCTTTAGATATTATTAATACCCTCAATATATGAAATTAATAACTTAGCCTTAATTAGAATAAAATTACAATAGATGTATTAAAATTTGAATATTTGTCGCAGCTCTTGGTCGATTCAAATTGCTTACTTCTCATCTTGAAGATGTTTGGTTTGCAAGATGTGAGTTTAATGGTCAAAGCTAAGAATGAAGTCGAAAATATGAAGTAAGTAAAATTATCCGGTTGTGTTTTGAAAATTTTAACAAAATCTTGGCATTATTTATACGTGTGATTAATGATGATTATTATTTCTCAGTTTCTTTCAATACTGCATGAGCATCAACAATGATGATACAACCGAAATTGAACAAACTGATGATGATATGGCTATCGATAACCAACAAGAATGTTCACAAGCAGCATACGACATACATCAGTCTGGTCAAGTTAATGACCCACAATCTAATACAAGTAATGAAATTGACGTTGACTCGGATTATTGTTGGAGAAATTTCTTTGCAGCTATAAATTTCCTAAAGATATTGCAGAAATTAACTAAAAGGAAGACACATAGGATTTTATTATTGGTACAATATAAATCATCAGTGAGTAGTATATTATTTAAGTGTACAGTATTAATATGATTGTAGTTAAGAATTATTCAATTTTGAATAGGCTATCTTGAAAAGAATTCTAAAGGTGTCTCATCCATTATTGGAATTATATGCTTTGAAAGTATTAAAAAATCAAATTCCATTTATAGGAAGAAAATGGCGACAAAGTATGAGTTTTGATTCTTTCTGAAAAAGTTAATTATTATACATGGGATTTCTGTTTATTTAATTTCTTTATAAAGGTAATATGAAAGTTATTACTTCGATTTATTTGAGTTGTCGCCCAGATCTTAGGGATGAATGGATTTCGTCAACTGACGTGGATTCCGAAATGGATGACGCTTTGGTAAGTTTATTTTCGATAATTTTTAGTAAGGCTCTACAAATATTAAAACTGAACCAATCTCTATAAATTATTTGCAGCCTCAGGAACAAAACCTTCGAACATTGATTAAATTTTATAATGAAAGAAACTATTTTCCTCAATACGATCAAAAAAACGACATGTACTTGGATGATAACAACAGAAACCTTCCCGATATATTCCCACCATGCCATACAAAATCTCTCAATCATATTAATTCCGCTTATATTCCTGATGATATCATGTTAGATGATTCATTCCTTGAAAATTGGGAACAATGGCTTCAAGAAGAAGTATATAGTTTCTCTGTAGTGAAGCCACACCTGAAAAGTATTGATGAATATTATGATGATGATTTTGTCGCTGCTATTCAAAATGGAGATGGATCAGAGTGGGATATACCTCCAACATCACCAGTTGACGGTAAAGACTCATTTGCTTCAATCGAATGGAAAAACATTTCATCTTATGAACTTAAGGCCTTTGAACAAAGAATGAATCATAGCGGATTTAAATTTTATGATTTTGACGACATGGAAACCAACACCGATTCCGTCACAGATGCAGACGATAAGATCAATGAGACGACCTACTGTTGGCCTGATGAAATGTTAGGTCCCTTGGCACCGAGTGAAGTTACTATATATCAGCCTACCCCGTATCAGAGTGAGGATGAAGATTAAAATGACTTCTGATTTAAAGGGGAAAACACGTGGGTGTAGGGTCGCAATGACTTGACGAAAGGCAGAAGAGCATTATTAAATTCCCCCCATTGTTTGGATTTGCATTAAACAAGCCATCAAAAAAAAAAAAAAAAAAAAAGGTTTACTCAGGAAATAATTCTTAGATGAAAATAAGTTATATTTTTTTCTTCGCTCTTCTTTTTTAACAGATTAAATCGGAGTGATATTGCAAAATAAATGTCAATAAATATGAATAGTTAAACACAAGCTGACTAATTAACTAGAGTTGATTATATAATTTAAATCGAATTTATTTGGTTATTTGTAGAACTACGTACATATACAAAAAATATATTTTTTTAAAAATACAACCTATAAATATATACACGATAATTCTCATACGCACTCTTTATAGTTCACAGGACCCCGAACAATATATGTAGAGGTTACATTGAAATTTTGGCTAAAAAAGTTACTTTTTTTATTAAAAGTGAATAAATTAATAAGCTTTAAATAGATTATATTTGAATAATCAAATAAAAAAAATATATTTTAAAAAAAAAATTTTTTTTTTGAAGAAAATTGTTTTTTTTTGTTTTTTTTTAATATTAAAGGTGAGGTCTTTTTGAAGAAAATTGTTATACAGTATTTGATATATAATTGGGTAATATTTATTAAATATTAAGCTTATATATAAAATATAGTTAATTATCTTTAATAAAAATTTTAACAAGTTTATATTAAAGCTAATATAATCTATATAGAGTTCTAATTAATTGTTAATGTTGGAGTTGGGGTTAGGGTCTCGTAGCCTAGTGGTTTAGGCGCCTAACCCTTCACAGACAAGGTTGATGGTTCGATTATAGCTGGTAGTAATTAATTTAATTAATTATCTCTGTAACTTTTGGGAGCTTTTAAATGCAAAACCCTGTGGTGGTAAGACTATGTGATGTATATATTTGGCCGATAAAGAATTTTTGAAAGGAGCCCTGAGCCATGGAGAAGACTGGGTACTGTGTGTGACATGAGTCATGAAAAGTAACTGCAAAAGATTATGCGTGTGAATCTGCGATTGGCAAAGTAGCACCAACAACCCTAAGGCGGTATTGGGATCTTGTTTGGGAAAATGGCTATATATGGTTATCCAGAAGTAGTGAGAGAAGCAGTGAATATAGTAAGGGGCTGTAGTAAAAAAATGGCTTTACCAAATATGAAACATCTTTGGCACAAGGAAACAAGAAAAACCAGTCAAAAAAAACTCTGAAAAGCATAGAAGCAAGCGCTTTGGTTGTATGAAAATAAAGATAGCCAGTAAGTAATGTGTCACACAACCTATATAGGAGTCATATGACGAAACATGGCAGAAGCACAGATCATAGGTTACTGGCTTGTGACAATAATTAAATAAGGTACTTAACTCCCATTCTAAGGATCTAGACTTCTGTAATACCATACTAATAGGGAGTACTATAAAAGGAGTAATAGCCTAATTTGGTGGTATACAACGCAAATACCTGGATCGATATAAAATAACACTCTAGTATGGCAGCAGGTAGCTTGAGATATAAGTCTTATGACCTGGTAGCATCTGGCTTAAGATACAGATTAGGTCCTTAGAGTAGCTCCCCTGGAATACCAAACTGGAAGCATGAAGAGTGCCCACTCAAAAGACACCAATTTGAAAATAATACAAGAAATAAATTAGGAGTAATATGATAAATAATAAGGGGTAGAAGTTAGTTGGTGGACGTTGTACAGTAGTATATAAGCGGGATATATATGATAAAATAGATTTGAGAACTATCCAGTGAGTTTGAAAACCGGCCTGATATGGGATAGTTGATAAGGAGATAAAATTTCATATAGCAGGTCACACATAGGTACTAAGTTAGTAACTGGGTAAGTTTTATCTAAAATAAATTAAATAGTTGTAAATGTATCCCTTAAACCATCCAGTTTAGCAGGCAAATTTGCCTGCTAAAATTTTATAAATTTATGTCTGATCTACTTTTATTAAAAATTAAAATA